GAGACCTCTAGCTATACTATTAGAAAGGGAATAAAATTAAATATTTAGAATTTGTATAAAATTATTTATTAATAATAATTTGCACCTTTGCATCCCAAAAATCCATTTCTTTTATTAGCAACGCTTATAAAGTGAGAGGATCCAGAGAGTTAATGTTTACTTTGTTCAGCCTCACCAAAATTAAATTGCAAGCTCTGAAGTGTCTGGTGGCTGATTATAATTTGCATTTAAAGCAGCAGTCAAGAGACATGTCCAATGTGTGTTCTCCTTGTCAGGGCACAGAGGGAACAGCTGGGTGCTATCTTCGAAATAATGGAGAAAAATCAAGAGACCTTTGGGACAATGTCGGAAAGAGACGTCAAGGAGCAACTGAAATTGTACAATATGTAGCATCCTCCAGGCACAACGGAAAAAAAAACAAATGACGGAAGGAATATTACTAAAATTATATATATATATATATATATATATACATACATACATACACACCAATCTTTGTATCTCAGAACTCCATGTCTTTACACCACTCATTCCATTTAATTTAATCATCATTTTATAATCACCAGTACAGCAAAATTGTATCAGTGAGGAATTTTACATGGCTATAATAAGCATTATAGGGATCAGAGGTATTTAAATGTTTTCAATTGAAGATTGGAAAATGTTAATTTAAATTCACCTATTGTGGTGTCCCTAGCCTTAAAATGCTACCAAACACATAATTCCAGTATTTGACTCTAATCAGCAATACTACTCTGTAGTTGTGATTTTATATCATTGTTAAAATGTTTTTTTTCTAAAATGTATAATCTGTTACAGACTAGGGATTTTTCATTCATTTTGAATAGGGTTTTGCTTGCACAGCTTAATATGCATGTCTGGTAGAGGTCGGTAAGATGGTGTTATACAATATTTGTTTATCAGCCTTCCAAAAGAATCCAATCTTGAGCTCAGGTTGATCTATCTGTACAACGAGGGTCTGTGTAGCTCAGGATTCTCTTAAAGTTTTGAAAGTCATGTTTACTTATCCCTACACTTAAATAATATGTATTTGTGATCTGTTAAAAATATAATTAAATGTAGAAAGCCCTCACCCTTTTGCATGTAACTGGGAGCCTCCATCTTTCCTCCCTGTTAATCATTGTTATCCCCTCTGTCTTTTGCATCTGGCAATCAGCATTCAGAGAAGATTTATACGGTTATATTTGTCCTCCTCGTCTGCAATGTTTGACTTGTATTTGCTTCAAGTAAACCTTTAATATAAGGTTAAATGAGCTTTACAATGTTACAAACATGTATTCTTAATGCTACAGTGTCCTGACACCTCTTTAGATCATCCTAACATTTCCCGTGTGAGAGTTTGAAAGGTGAGTATTACTTACCTTTCAGCCCTCTTCACAACCTCACTCCTCCTCAGATCTTCACATCAGTGTAGAAGATCTTAGCCAATTCAATGTTTCCCCATAGGAAACATTGTCAGGCTAGTGCTCATCCACTCTGTGCCAATCAAATTTTCTCAAATTTATCTGGTTGGAAAACTGCTAGAGGCATGCTTACCCTGCAATGGTAATTTTGCCAACAGAATGGCAGTTTACAGTTGCAGGGTTAAGCAGACAGGGACATGGTACCTAGAACACTTCATTGAGATTAAGTTGTCTGGGTGCCTTTAGTGTATATTTAACACGAGTTACAGGTGGTTCTATTCAATTGTGTAATGTCCAAGGAAGTGGCATTTCCCTTTTAAGAGTTCTAAAATACAGAATAATTTAGATGAATGAATATATAATGCCTCAAGTATCATTTTGTCTGTAAACCGTGAATATGCACCTGTTAATTGCTATTAAGAAGTACTATAATCTTCAATACAAGTCAGGGGATGCTTAAAGGTTTTTAAGGCCCAACCTATGGAAAGCCCTGAACTAAATCTGCAGTATTTTTCCAGTATGGGATTAATGTGCAATAGCTCTATAGTCATTTTAGACACGAAGAATGATTTATATTATGCTAGTTTTAAGTGATTAGTGCAGGCTTATTTGGTAAAGTTTGAAGAAATTCTATGCGCTGGGTGTGCTAAATATTTGGGGCTTTGCAGAGAGCAGAACTATTTCTATTTTAACATTTCATATAATTTCTAATAAAAAATTTTTTGCAAGCCTTAACCTGTCTTCTCTTCATTTCTTGTTAGAAAATGGCTAGAAAGTAAAATTGTATCCACTGAAGATTATTTGGGTCTGATTCAGACCATGTACCATTAAAACGGTTGCAATGCTATTTTTTTTTCTAGTTATTGAACACTTAAATTTTTTAATATTTGCGCTTGAATTAACACCTCTGTATTGACTCCATTAAAACAAATTAACAATTGTGGTGTGCAACACACTATTTCAGCAATGACTTTTTTAGAATCAACCTGTTATTGATGCTCCAATATATGATACATAAAATTTAATCCATGCATCATGCGTGCTGAATTGTCAGCAACATATGTAGCTTTTTCCGTGTATACTGAGGAATGACTGACAGGTACATGTATCAGTGGCAGAACTAACAGAGAGGGCCCTGGTGCAAGAATTTCTTTGGTCCTCCCTATTGCAAAGGTGGTCAATCCCCATCATTGTGCAAGTCCAACAATGCTTTGCCAGCTGGGAATCTACAATTTGACCATCCTTGCAAGGTTGTATTTAGCACTGAGCAGTGTGTTTGAATGAAAGCTTGAATGAAAGACACCTCTCTGCTTTATTGCTTTAGTCATACTGGGGAATGAGGCTGCTCCTGCACACTCCAAGGAGTTTAATGTCGATGAACTCCTCACTCCAAGCAGTGTTTTCTCTGTCTGGGTTTCCTGCATATTATAGGCATTCATGTAAGCAGTAGGACGCCAGGCTCACAGGCTGGAGCAGGCCTCAGACAGTATTATCATTGTGGTTTGCAGCATTACCAACTCCAATTCAGTATCATCCAGGTGCCGGGGTTTCCCCAGCCCCATAACTATGCACCTTGTGAGCAGGGAAGCATTTTGTGTGCATTATTTCAGTATATTTTCAGTCTCAAAGCCTAAGGTGGCTGCTGGTCAGCTTGACGACCTGACCCACCTGAGGACTGAAATCAAGGGTGACCGTATAAATGACGATCTGGACATCAGTAAATCGCTGTATCACCAGTCTGTGTACATCAAACATATCCCAAACAAGTGAAAAGTAATTGCAGAGATCTCAAAAATGCCTTAAAAAAACAAAAAACACAGCCCATAAGTTCAAAAGAATAAAGCTGTGATCCCTTAAAGAAAAGAATGAGAAACTGTGAAAAGTAAAATAAATTAGTAAATAAAATGCATGCATTGAATATATATATATATATATATATATATAATATACACATACACACACACACACACACACACACACACACACAGTACCCCAACCCTCCCTACCTCAAAAAAAAGAAAAAAAAAAGAAAGGGTAAATCTGGAAACCAGTCAACAAACAAATAGCAGGCTAAAGTACCTGATGTAAATCAAACCATGGCAAAGAGAATTTGAGCCCATTCATATTAATTGCCACTAGATGGCGTAGATAAGACAGGACAGACCTACTTTGCAACAGGTTTGAAAGAATGTATAAAGTGCTCATAGCAGCACTTTAACATTGTTTTTATAGAATATATTCTTAATTGTAAAATGAATTGAAAACAAAAATGAATATAAAGTATCACACAATTAATATAAAGACCCACTAAAAAGTGCTGACTAGAATTGAAACCATCCTCAAAGATCAAACGTGCAGCAAAGCTCATCATATATTTCAGGATAAAGTAGCAAAGTACAAACTAACCACATACATTCACACTATGCTGTACTTATTTTACATGATCTATACTTCAGGTAACAATGGAGAGGACAACATTTTTTGATCCCCTGCTGATTTTGAACGTTTGTCCACTGAAAGAAATGATCAGTCTATAATTTTAACGGTAGGTGTATTTTAACAAAAATAAAATCCAGAAAAACACATGTCAAAAAAGTTATAAATTGATTTGCATGTCAATGATTGAAGTAAGTATTTGATCCCCTATCAATCAGCAAGATTTCTGTCTTTTATACAGGTAACGTGCTGAGATTAGGAGCACTCTCTTAAAGGGACCTGTATAAAAGACATCAGAAGCAATCAGATTCCAAACTCTCTACCATGGCCAAGACCAAAGAGCTGTCCAAGGATGCCTGGGACAAGATTGTAGACTTACACAAGGCTGGAATGGGCTACAAGACCATCGCCAAGGAGCTTGGTGAAGAGTTGACAACAGTTGGTGCGATTATGCGCAAATGGAAAAAACACAAAATAACCGTCAGTCTCCCTCGGTCTGGTGCTCCTTGCAAGATCTTACCTTGTGGAGTTTCAATGATCATGAGAACAGTGAGGAATCAACCAGGACTACACGGGAGGATCTTGTTAATGATCGTAAGGCAGCTGGGACCATAGTCACCAAGAAAACAATTGGTAACGCACTACGCCGTGAAGGACTGAAATCATGCAGCACCTGCAAGGTCCCCCTGCTCAAGAAAGCACATGTACAGGCTGAAGTTTGCCAATGAACATCTGAATGAGTCAGAGGAGAATTGGGTGAAAGTGTTGTGGTCAGATGAGACCAAAACCGAGCTCTTTGGTATCAACTCAACTCGCCGTGTTTGGAGGATGAGAAATGCTGCCTATGACCCCAAGAACACCATCCCCACTGTCAAACATGGAGGTGGAAACATTATGCTTTGGGGGTGTTTTTCTGCAAATCTTGGGTGAGAACCTCCTTCCCTTAGCCAGGGTATTGAAAATGGGTCGAGGATGGATATTCCAACATGACAATGACCCAAAACACACAGCCAAGGCAACAAAGGAGTGGCTCAAGAAGAAGCACATGAAGGTCCTGGAGTGGCCTAGCCAGTCTCCAGACCATAATCCCATAGAAAATTTCTTCGTCAGTGGGCAAACGTCCAAAATCAGCATGGGATCAAATACTTCTTTCCCTCACTATAAACATTGTGTGGAGTAAAAAACAGGCTAGAGTTGTGGAAAAATGTGTATCGAACGGTGTATTGAACTATGACCAAGAGAATCAAATCCGTTCACATAAGTGTTGTTATTTACCACTAGTAGGCATTGATAAAGCAGGGCAGACCTGCTTTTCAACGAGTTTGAAAAGTGTATAAAATAGCAAAACAATATCATACTATGTCAAAAAAGCTTCTCACTGAGCAGAGTTTAGTGGGGACAGGTAGTGGAGAGGGAGGAGATAAGACTGATGCGGAACAGGCATGTAGCTGGGTGACAGTGGGGCGAGGAAGCGGGGGGGGGGAAGAGGAAAGGGCTAGCTAGTCCTGATTTGGTGCAACCTAGCAGATTTGCCCGTTTGAGTGAAGTTGTTGGGAGCATCAGCTCAGGAGTAGCTGTATTAGAGGAAGCTGTTACTTCTAACAGCCGTGGGAACAGCCCCAAGGAAGGCAAGATAGGTTGTGGTGGTAGGGGACTATCATTAGGAGAGCAGATAGGGCAATCTGCCGCTCTAATCGGCTCAACCGGACAGTTTGCTGTCTCCCGGGTGCTCGGGTCCGGCATGTTGCTGACCGAGTGAATGGATTATTGGGAGGGGCTAGGGATAACCCAGCGGTCATGATCCATGTTGGTACCAATGACAAAGTAAGAGGCAGATGGAATGTCCTAAAGAATGCTTTCAGGGAATTAGGTAGCAAACTTAAGAAAAGGACCTCCAAGGTGGTATTCTTTGAGATATTACCTGTGCCACGCGCTACAGTGAAAAGTCAGCGGGAGATTAGAGAGGTCAATGCGTGGCTTAAGTCTTGGTGCAGGAAGGAGGGTTTTGGGTTTTAGAGCACTGGGCCGACTTTGCGATTGGGTAGTCCTTTATAGTAGTGATGGATTGCACCTAAACGGAAGAGGGTCTGCAGTGCTGGGGGATAGGATGGCTAGAAGGTTGGAGGAGATTTTAAACTAGTAGTAGGGGGGGAGGGTCATAGCAATCTACAAAATTGAGATAGGACAGAAAGGAGATGGGCTTTAGCACAGTATAAGGGGGTGGAGACGGAGGGAGGGTGATTATGTTAATAATTCACAAAAAGTACAAATGACTCATGATATTAAATGTATGCTTACTAATGCAAGGAGCCTAAATAACAAAATGGGGGAACTAGAGGCGGTAGAATACTGAACAATATGATATAATAGGCATAACTGAAACATGGTGGGATGAGACACATGACTGGGCAGTTAACTTAAATGGGTACATGTTATTTAGGAAGGATAGGAAAAACAAGAAGGGTGGTGGGGTATGTTTGTATGTCAACCATGATTTAAAGCCAAATCTTAAGCAAATGGAATGCGATGAGGAAAATGTGGAAGCTTTATGGGTAAATATCTGCTTGGGGGAAAAGAAGGGAAACCAACTATTGGTTGGGATATGTTATAAACCACCTAATGTTAATATTGACAAGGAACAACAGCTGTTTGAGCAAATTGAGAAAGCTGCAAATCTGGGTAACACTTAAATTATTGGAGATTTTAATTACCCAGACATAAATTGGGACAGAGGGACTAGTAGCTCAGCAAGGGGAATTAGGTTTTTAAACTTGTTAAATTACACCTTCATGTCACAACTTGTACAAGCACCAACTAGAATGGACGCTTGTCTGGACCTGGTTTTAACAAACAACGTTGATCTTTTGACCAACATTCAAGTAGGTGAGCACTTGGGAAATAGTGATCACAATATAGTGTCCTTTGAAATAAACTCAAAAAAACAAAAGCAATAATTTTAAAAAGGCCAATTTCAATAAGTTAAGGGCAGCTTTACAATATATTGACTGGCATAAATCTTTAGTGAAAAAAAACACTGAGGATAAATGGATCATCTTCCAACAAATATTAGAAAGGTACATTTCTCAGTATGTACCATTGGGAAATAAATATAAAAGAAACAAATTAAAATCAATGTGGCTAGGTAGAGAAGTAAAACAAGAGATTAAAAATAAGAAAAGGGCATTTAAAGCATTTAAATCGGGCAAATCAGATGCATCTTATAAAAGATATAAGGAAGCAAATAATGCGTGCAAAAAGGCAATTAGATTTGCTAAACTTCAAAATGAAAAAATGATAGCTAAAGAGAGCAAAACCAACCCCAAAGCATTTTTTAATTACATAAATTCTAAAAAAAACAAAAATGAAAGTGTAGGTACACTAAAAACTGAAACAGGTGTGTTAGTTAATGAAGACTAGGAAAAGGCAGGAATTTTAAATAACTATTTCTCCTCCATATATATTAAGGAAGAACCCATGGCAATAGATGTGCAAATGATTGCTACTATAAACTTGCAGAATAATTGTAATTGGTTAACTTAAGAAAAGGTGCTGCAGCAACTAAAGAAAGTTAATATAAACAAAGCTCCAGGGCCTGACGGTATCCATCCACAAGTACTTAAGGAACTAAGTGTAAAAATAAGTGAACCTCTGTTTTTAATCTTTCAAGATTCTTTTCTTTCAGGAAGTGTTCCGTAGGATTGGAGGAAGGGAGATGTGGTTCCTAGATTCAAAAAGGGTTCAAAATCCTTGCCTGGAAATTTTAGACCTGTGAGCTTAACTTCTGTGGCTGGGAAAATACTTGAAAGGTTATTAAGGGATAATATTCAAGAATTCCTTGAGAAGAACATGGTTATCAGCAAAAATCACCATGGTTTTATGAAGCACAGGTCATGTCAAACTAACTTGATTGCGTTCTACGAAGAAGTAAGTAGAAGTATAGATCAGGGTGTTGCAGTGGATGTGATCTATTTGGATTTTGCCAAGGCATTTGATACAGTTCCACACAATAGATTAGTGTTCAAACTCAAGGAAATAGGTCTAGATGAAAATGCTTGTTCTTGGGTAGAACATTGGCTTAAAAACAGAGCACAAAGAGTTGTCATTAATGGTAAATTTTCAAGCTGGACAGAGGTGGCAAGTGGTGTCCGCTCAATTCTAAAAATAAATGAAAAAAAAAAAAAAATAAATCAAGTACAACAATCAGAAAATGTGAACAGTGCTTAAACTGTAGAGAACGTGGGTGGGATAAACTGTAATTATTCTCAACAGACTGTAACAACTTAGATCAAAGGATAAGAATTATCCAATCTCCTGAAGATTGAATTAGTTTAAACCTCATATAATAATTTGAAGTAAATGTGCACATCAGATCATAAGCTTAGATTAAATCGGAAAAAGTCTGTCTCTATATCCAAAATATATTACACATACTGTTTTTAGAACAATCTTTCTTTTTCATAGACACCCATTAGTTATAGCGATATTTAAACTATATCTAGCAAGACACGAGATTTCAGTATCAGTGTTCAATCAGATTCAGGTTTAGATTTATCTAGCAAGTAATGAAATTTCTAAACTTAACGTCCAACCAAATCTTGCATTTGAATTTATCATGCTAAGGGTAAAGTCCCAGAATCTTGATATAAATCCTGAAAATAGCTGGTAGTCAGTAGTGAGATTCAAAAATCTTAGTAACCAGTTTCGACTTTTCAGACACTCACATCGACGCAGTCACGCATATATACCCTAAGGGGTACAAACACCCTGCGGGGGCAAGGGAATGCTATTAATGCATTAAATGCATAAACCATGTATTTAAAGTAGGGATCGACCGATTATCGGTCTGGCCGATATTATCGGCCGATATTTGGTATTTTCGGCAATATCGGTATCGGCCAATTCAGATACCGATATTGCCGATAATATATAACAGGACCGCCGGGCCCATTACAAGCACGGCGGTCCTGTGGGGGCCAGCAGCAAGCGCTGACTTACCTTGCATGCAGCTCCCTATGTAAATCTCGCGAGACCCGCGGCCGCAGAGCATTGCCATGGGTTACCATGGCAACGCTCCGCGCGGCACTAAGAGCCGCGAGATTTACACAGGGAGCTGTAGGAGCTGCTTGCAAGGTAAGTCAGCTCTTGCTGTTGCTGAGCCACCACTGTACTTAACAAGCCACTGGACCACCAGGGGATACTATATCCCCGTCCCTGGTAAGAAGCAGGGAGGGGGGACTAAACAAAAAAAAAACCAAACATTTAAATATTAAAAAAAATATTAAAATAAAAAATTACACAAATTACATCACTACACACACACCCAAACACACACTACACAAACACACACTGCACACATACTGCATTACATACACACTACACAGACACAAACACACTCTACACAAACACACTCTACACAAACACACTCTACACAACCACACTCTACACAACCACACTCTACACAACCACACACTGGGGGGGGGGGACTAAACAAAAAAAACATTTAAATATAAAAAAAAATATTAAAATAAAAAATTACACGAATTACATCACTACACACACACACACACACAAACAAACACACACTGCACACATACTGCATTACATACACACATACTGCATTACATACACACTACACAGACACACACACAGACACACACACAGACACACACACACTGCATAACATACACACACACACTGCATTACATACACACACTACACAAACACACACTGCACAAACACACACTGCACACATACTGCATTACAGACACACACACTGCACACACTACACTGCACACACTGCATTACATACACACACACTGCATTACATACACACTACACAGACACACTGCATTACATACACACTACACAAACACACACTACACAAACACACACTGCATTACATACACACTGCATTACATACACACATTGCATTACATACATACACAAAAACACACTGCATTATACACACACAATACATAAACACACTGCATTATATACACACTACACACACTGCATTATATACACACTACATTCATTATACACACACTACACAAACACACACTCTGCATCCACTACACACACAGTTCCCCTGTCTAAAAACACTTCATCCACTACATGTGGCATGTATATTTTGTGCATTTACCTTTCGAATTAGTTTATTTATTCAAAATAGTAAATGTACAGAATATCGGCAAAATATCGGCTATCGGCCTGAAAGTTCGCAGATTATCGGTATCGGTATCGGCTCTAAAAAATCAATATCGGTCGATCCCTAATTTAAAGCTAATGTGCAGTAAATACAAAAATTAGGTATACCATGCCAATGAGCAATAATTACGTACATTTAAAATATCATGCC